AAAAAAAAATATATATATATATTTATTTATTTATTATACTTACAAGTGTTTCTTAACAAGCCCTAAAGGGCCTCTAACTCATGGTGCTGTCATTCGATTCGACCGTCATTAGCTTCACATTAATGCATGTCACTCTGTTATTCTAGCATTTGCTGTTGCTTTCAACCCTATTTTGCCATACCAATTATGTATGCATAGGTGTTAATCATCCTCCTTAACAAGTATACCTCATAAACATATGTATTATACATTAAAATATAAAATAAAAACATTATATTCACTTTTCACAAGCTAGACGTTATATAAACGTACGTCTTATAAATTCTGTTTCCTCCTACGTTTAGCGTATGGCCATCATAACCTAAAGTCAATTCAGCACTATTGCATTCTAGTGGTCTAAACCTCATTCCTGTCGTAAATTCTGTTTTATACCCTCTATTCAACTGGCTCAGTAAGTATGTATTGTATAACTTCCAACATGTGTATTTCATACGTTCTTTATGTTAACCATTTCACAAGCTAGACGCTTATTATTTTTATTGTTATTATTTCTCTACTGTCTCATTAATTGCTACTTTAATCGCTACTTCTCAACAAACTCTACAACCTATATCTGATCTACCAATCACCTCCTCCATTACTTTTATCACAGCCTCACGTGGCCACCCTGCACCTCAGGACTTACAGTGGGTCCCTTCTCGGCCTCATATACATAGTCCTTGCAAAAGGCCCTCAATGGGACTTTACAACGTCCGTTTCACATGACCCTGAGTGGGCAACATACTATGTTATTATTTCAGTGCTACATTGGGCTTTTCATTTGCATAACATCCACTTACAGGGGTTGCATACTATCCCACCATACTACACGATATTGATAAACTAATCATACCTTACTATACGGTACAGCTTTCACAAGGACATCCTCCTGGGGAACCTGTATCCTTCATCATATACGTCGTCTCTCCCCCATGTCAAACACTATGGTTCAGCAGTCAAGGATCATCATCACCTACATAGGACACCGCCTGAATATACTGATATGTTGCAAACGATTGAGTGTAATCAATACCTTTAAACATGGTCCTTTCTTGACATTCGCTACATTTGCTTTACAAGGCCCTCAATGGGCAACCTAATACAACACAATTATTACCTCCTCATTTGGGCTTGAAATGAAGGGCCTGCTTCATGAAGGTTAAACACTGCTTATATTACTTCATTCAATAATACGCTCAGTAGACCTACTCCAAAGGAATCTGGGAAACCTTAATCCCTCATCCGATAAGTGTTATCCTTACTCCACATATTAACCCACTTCGGTCTAGCATGGTATTGACAACAGTATTATTGACAAGTCACATACATCTAGAAACTGAATAATCTATCATGTTGGTTATTTGCCTTATTTTGCTTTGATCACAGCCTCAGACGGTCTGCCACTACATACAACATTGCCACCCTGGTATTTATGACAATTCTCAATACCACTATATATGGACCGGTTCAAAGGCCTCTACCCAACTCTTACAACCATGATATGTTTATTCCACATTTGTTCGTTCCATATGTCCGTACCCCTCATACAGCCCTATTTTTTCCATCCTGCAGCTCAGGACTTATATTGGGCACTCTCGACTTTTCACTACGATACTTCTACACATCGCCCCTATACAGCCCTCTTCGGCAAACCACTACGATCCAATTTCGGCCCCACATTTGGGCATTTACATACAACATTTTCCTGCTCAGAAGGGAACACTATAACCCTTTCATATTACATTTTACTATTCCACCCTGCCTCGTTAGGCACACACAAGTCCTCCCTATATGGTTCCTGTCTCGGAACACTCCCAAGAACCCAGAAACCCTCTTCGATCTGCCTGTTTTACTTAAATTAGTATAAACCACACCTTCATCTACGGTGATTACTAGATCTCATAATTAGCTTCCTGCTACTAAGCTAGAGATGTTACATACATGTTTTGGTATTTAATTACTTGGGCTATTTTTTCTCACGCATACTTCAGGTCCTTCTAGTAGGACACACAGTGGGAACTCATGTTTAGATTCAGTTCATTCAAGTATCTCTTTTCCTGACTCATTTTGTAGGTATGTATAGGTATGCACTCATTATACATAAGTTCCCTTATTTTTTGGGGTTTCCACCATTCTTACTTTTCAACCTGTTGTTGACGTATTAATCCTTAACAACAACACCGGTACGTTATTTCAATTAGTACTTACACTATCCTGGACATATTCACATTGTTTTATAGGTTCCTCTGTACGACATCCTTTCTCAAGCTCAACCTCACTAGTTTGGCAATGTACGTACGTTCCAACATACTTTGTATCAATCCATTATGTTTCTATTCCCCTACACTTCTTAGGGATAGATCAACTGGCTGCAAAGGGTTTGGTGCAGGCCATTTTCTAATATATATTAATAATTCAGTCCCGCGAGGCCAACACCATTCCTCACGCAGAGGTATTCACCCATCGGCCCAACTCATAGCTAGAGCCTTGCTCTACAGGTCATTAGATAGGGCCTCACCTGTCACTGCCACTCATTTGAATCTCTTACTTGTCACCAAGAGGCCAACATTCGTGCCACTTCTTACTGTGGCCTCAGTCCCTCAGCCAAAATCACAACTAGAGCATCTCTGAGCCACTTGGCATTTTGCAAGGCCTCACCTTCCCCTTCCCCTTGTATAGCTAATTTCATCGCCATCCGGCACTTAGTGAGCTGCCAGTTGAGTCAGGGCTACACTCTCATCGACATACTCATTGTTTATTCATCATATTATGTTTTTCTTTTTTTTTTACAATCTTTATTTTCGTTTTAACGAATACATAGAAGTTAGTAAACAAGGATTCAGCACCACAGTACACCGGGAAGATAATGCAATGGTACGCCAACAACAATTGTAAACTACATTAAGCAGGGAGACCCCGGGGCTACTAGCGGGCATCAGGACTGCGCGTTTAGGCCAGATTATCCACTATTATCGAGAGAAATGCGTGTATTACACTAGTAGCCGGTGCCAAAGCACGGCTGGTCTTGTGCTAAAGCCCGCAGAAGTGTCGATTGTGTGGCCTAGGGTAATGGAGGCGAAATGATGGCTCTGGTTTTTATCTTGCCCGACCTTGGCCTATTTTCTATTTTCCAGTCTCCAGCTAATGGAGTGTTAGTCGGGAGTTATCTCTGCCCTTAACTCAAGTCTCTTAGTCATTAATTGTCAGGGAATATATACTGCGTTGTAGCAACAGTTCAGGAGCACTAGAAGTCCAGTCATGTATCACATTAGACTTGCCAACCGTTCACCTCCTGTCATCCACTGGTCTTGTCAGTGAAGTGCCCCCCGCGGTCTGTTCTACTATGTGGGGGATGGGTATAGAAAGGTGAAGGTGGTTCCCACGTTTACCTAATGGAAACTGTGGTGGGTAGGGGAGTCTGTCAGTCTTGTGTTGCAACTCTGAGTTTGGCAAAGTTCGTCCTTAGGCGTTCGTCTTGTGCAGTCCGATCTGGCCGCCCGGGCCCGTGGCAGGGAGAGGCCTAAGGTGGAAGGGGGGAGGTGTCACGTTTTCATCCGCTTATAGAAATGTGGTTAATGACATTAACTGTCCACACAGGAAAAGTTGTGCCGAGCAGCAACCTAATCCACAGAAGGGTTAATGCTGAGCAGTAATTGTGCAAATGAAACCTGGTGTCATGTATTCATCCACTTAGAGAAAAGTGATTAATGACATTTACTGTCCACACAGGAAAAGTTGTGCCGAGCAGCAACCTAATCCACAGAAGGGTTAATGCTGAGCAGCAATTATGCAAATGAAACCTGGTAACTGACTTTGGGGTCAAAGGCCGGTTACAGCCTATCAGAACTAAAGGAGGGTATTTAGGCCCAGTTCTCAGCCTGCTCAGTGCCCTGTCGTGGTTTCCCTTGTGGTTGTCCGAGAGCGCGTTCCTGTTTATAGTTTTCTACCTGGTTTTTGACTTTTGGCTTTGTTTATTGACTTCTCTATATTCTGGTATCCTGACTCCTGGCTTTCCTCATTGCTGTGTCCCTTTCTGTGTTCCCTGACCTCGGCTAGTATTTTTGACTATTCTATGTACGTTAAATCCGGCCATTCTAAGGACCGGTAATACGTTACTTATTTGTCATCCGTGCTGTACAGTTCTACGTGCTGGATCAAACAGTAATCCTGACAGGAGGAGGGGGTGAGCGGGGGAACAGGAAAGGGGGACGGGGGAAGAGCGGGCAGGGGGACCCACCACCAATCTCCAGCCTGTGGCCCGTGGCCTGCGACTCAGGGCATGCATTGGTCAGGTCGGCGCCCGGGGGTCGACGCGCTCTATAAGCAATCAAGGGGCTCCATAGTCGGGAACACTGCTCTCCAGTGCCATGTAGGTCTGCCATAAGGCTTTCCATAATAAAGATTTCTTCCATCTTATCCTCCCATTCCAAGACCTTTGGCACTAATTGAGTTTTCCATTTACTAGGGCAGTGGCGTACATACCAGGGTCGCAGGGGTTGCGGCTGCGACCGGGCCTGGCCCACCAGGGGGCCTGGCCGCCCCTGCGACCCGGTGTGTACCCACTGGGCCAGCCCAGGAGCCGACCCCCCCAGGGCCTCCCGAGGCTGGCCCTGCTGACACCCGGAAGGCAGGTGGCCGGTCGGGCAGGCAGGCGGGCGCGCGAGGGAGCACTCAATGCTTCCTCTTCAGCTCCCTCGCGCACCGCACTGATACCGGAGCCGGAAGATGACGTCATCTTCCGGCGCCGGCATCCCTACGCGGCGCGCGAGGGAGCTGAAGAGGAAGCACTCAGAGCAGAGTGCTCCCTCGCGCGCCCGCCTGCCCGACCGGCCACCCGCCCAGGAGCCCAGCAGCCCCACTGGACCCCAGGGAATCCCCCCAGCACTCCAAAAGGTAAGGAGGCTGGGTGGATTACATTTCAAAAAAAAAAAACTAGTGTTAGTGTTTGAGTGTGTGTGAGTGTGAGTGTTAGTCTGAGTGAGTGTTAGAGTGAGTGTTAGTGTGTGTGAGTGTTAGTGTGAGTGTTAGTGTGTGTGAGTGTTAGAGTGAGTGTTAGAGTGAGTGTTAGTGTGTGTGAGTGTTAGAGTGAGTGTTAGTGTGTGTCTGCTAGTGAGTGTTAGTGTGTGTGTGTGTTAGAGTGAGTGTTAGTGTGTGTGAGTGTTAGAGTGAGTGTTAGTGTGTGTGTGGGTCTGCTAGTGAGTGTGTCACTGTGTGTGTCTTACTGAGTGTGTGTGTTAGTGAGTCTGTTTGATGTCTGTTAGTGAGTGTGTGTTTGTCAATGAGAGTGTGTTTTGTAAGTGAGTGTGTATGTATGTCTGTCGCTGACTGTGTCTCTGTCAGTAAATGTGTGTGTCTGTTAGCTAGTGTGTATGCGTCTGTAAGTGTGTGTGTGTCTTCAGCACTTACCTTTCTCCAGCGCCGGACTCACTTGGCGCTGAGGATCCCTCAGCCTCTCAGCTCCGAATGCGACCGCGCACGCATTCAAACCGCCCATAGGAAAGAATTACTCAATGCTTTCCTATGGACGTTCAGTGTGCTCCTCTAGCGGCTGTCAGTGAGACAGCCACTAGGGGCTGGATTAACCCTCAGTGAAACATAGCAGTTTCTCTGAAACTGCTATGTTTTCAGCTGCAGGGTTAAAACTAGAGGGACCTGACACCCAGACAACTTCATTGAGCTGATGTGATCTGGGTGTCTGTAGTGGTCCTTTAAAGGCACTATATCTGGCTGTCTGTAGTGGTCGTTTTCCTGGCACTATAGTGCCCTGAGGGTGCCCCCACCCTCAGGGACCCCCTCCCGCCCGGCTCTGGAAAGGGGAAAAGGGGTAAAACTTACCTTTTTCCAGCGCTGGGCGGAGAGCTCTCCTCCTCCGATCCTCCTCTTCTCCTCCCCGTCGGCTGTATGCACACGCGCGGCAAGAGCTGCGCGCGCATTCAGCCTGTAACATAGGAAAGCATTCATAATGCTTTCCTATGGACGCTGGCGTGCTCTCACTGTGAAAATCACAGTGAGAAGCACGCAAGCGCCTCTAGCGGCTGTCAATGAGACAGCCGCTAGAGGAAATAGGGGAAGGCTTAACCCATTTATAAACATAGCAGTTTCCTGCTATGTTCTCTGAAACTGCTATGTTTATGAAAAAATGGGTTAACCCTAGCTGGACCTGGCACCCAGACCACTTCATTAAGCTGAAGTGGTCTGGGTGCCTAGAGTGGTCCTTTAAGTGTGTGTGCATCTGCATGCACTGGCGTACATACCGCGGTCGCAGGGGTCGCAGCCCTGTAACCCCTGCGACCAGATGCCCATCGCCATGTGTTGCGCCCCGGCCCGCACGCGGGGGGGGGCCCACGGATCAATTTTCGCACCGGGGCCCCATGGGTCATGTGTACGCCACTGTACTAGGGATTAGGCTTTTGGCCGCATTCAGGAAGTGCTTCGTTAAGGACTTTTTGTATCTGCCAATCGGCATGTCAGTGTGATGGAGCAGCATCGGGAGGGGCAGCAGTGGTACCTCCGAATCCAAGACTTCCTTCAGCTTTCCATGAATTTGTCGTCAGAAGGTGGCTATGGGAGGACAGGTCCACCATATGTGCAAGTCCGTGCCATCCGCCGACCCACATCTCCAGCACTGGGCTGTCGGCGTGAGGCCCATGTGGTGTAGTCTAGCAGGTGTCCTGTACCAGCCGGTCAGGAGCTTGTAGTTAAGCTCCCTAATTTTGGTGTCAACTGTTCCCAGGTGTGCCAGAGTATGAATCTTCTCCCAATCAGCGTCTGACAGGCCCGTCCCCGTCGCCTGCTCTCATTGTGACTGGTAAGGGGCCGGCGGCAGCCGCATGGCCCTGAGCAGGATGGCGTAGAGGACCGAGATGCCCCGGGGTAGGTGCGACCCCATCGCGCACAGTGACTCAAAGTATGTCAGGTCCCTGTGTATAAGCTGTGAGCCAGGTAGTGCATGGCATGAGTTTCGGATCTGGTGATATCGGAGCCGCAGCAGCCGTGTGACCCGCGCTTGTGACTGCAGGGACTCAAGAGGACGAACCTGGCCGTTGACGCACCAGTCTCTCAAGTGCAACTCACCCGGATTTCCCAGACCTTCCACATTTTTCGGCGCCAGGCCTCCAGCTATCTCCGGATTATAGACCACCGGTGTCAAGGGGGACGGGTTGGTGGAGAGGCTCAATTTGAACCAGAGGTTTGACCAAACTCTCAGTGTCGTCCCGATCAGTGGGTGCTCCCGGATGTCCCTAGCTTGTAGGGGGCGGGGGAGCCACGCCACCCACGGGAGTCATCCCAAAGCCTGCGTGCGTTCCAGGTGGACCCAGTGCTTGTCCGTCAGGGGGACGTGCCAATCCACTAAGCGAAGGAGATGGGCGGCGAAGTAATAGGATTGCATGTCCGGGAGGCCCATCCCGCCCAGGTGTTTCGGCTGGATCAGGTGCGTGCGCCTAAGTCTTGCTGTCCCCGTTTTCCACACGAATCTTCTGATGTTCGTATTCATGGTGTTAAAGAAGGCCTGGGGGAGTCGAATTGGAATAGTCTGAAAAAAGTACAGGAGCCTCCATATTATGTTTTTCACCACTAGAAAAGCTTATTTCATTTCCAAGTAACCCCGCCAGACCCTCCACCCCAGCTAGTCCATTGTACCCTGGTCAAGTACAAGTATACCACCAACACAGTTCCTTGCAATCCTGGACCGTTCCTAATTGCTGCGAACTCATGCGCTCCTAGCTACAGCATTGAAGCCAAGCTGAACAGACTTATGATTTAAGGGGTTAAACTGTTAAACTTTTTGCCCTCCCGTTGGTTTTGGCACACCACAACCGACTTGTGCCACCACTACTAAAACTCGGCTTATTCTCCCCGACTACACACACACATATATATATACACACACACACATACATATATATGTACACACATATATTTATAAAAGCACCCACATATAATACTCGTGTATGTATATATATATATATATATATATATATATTCACACACACAGACAGAGGAAAATGTATCCATGCTTGCCGTAATTTTCTTTTCCTGGTCATAGGCCATGGCATCAAAACAATGGGTTAGCTCCTCCCTATCCCTAATTAGACAGAAACTAATTTAAAATAAGGGTATAAATACCCCTCCCACCATCTCCTCCCTCAGTCTTGTTAACAAGACCAGGGCGGGATCTTTGTGCCAGGAAAAGAAAATTACGGCAAGCATGGATACATTTTTCTCTTTCTTGGCCATATTCTTGGCACAACAATGGGTAATACCCAAGCAATAACTAAGGGAGGGAAGAAAAGAAAAAATACAGACTCAAATCTTCAGAAATGCCAGTGTATTAGAAACCCACACGTGAAATAACGGACATAATCAAACTTATGCAGAGTTGGATGCCGAAAGAACAGTTTTGACAAAGAGGTCTAACTGGCCTGCTTTTATGTCAATCTGGTAATGTCTTATGAAAGTGTTCGTGGAGGACCACGTGGCCGCTTTGCAAATAAGTTCTGGTGAAACTTTAGCTGCTGCTGCCCAAGAAGAGGAAAGGAACCTTGTAGAATGAGCCTTGAGTCCTTCTGGGATTCTCATATTAGATGCCTTATAAGCTTGTATGATGGCTGCTACGATCCACCTGCTGATGGCTACTTCAGAAGCTTAAAGCCCTCTTCTTGGACCGTTAGGAATGATGAATAGTCTTTGAGAGGTACGCCAAGCAGATGATCTTTATAAATAAACAGACAGACATCTTACCAGATCTAAGGAAGAAGGCTTGGGTTCTGACTCACTTTCAGGTTCTTCCGACTGAAGAGCTGGGAGTACTATCTCCTCGTTGATGTGAAATGCTGAGACCACCTTAGGTTGAAATTCAGGAATAGTCCTCAGGATTACTCTTTCTTTGTGAAACACCGTAAAAGGCTCTTTGGCTGATAGGACATGGAGCTCAGACACCCTTCTACCTGAGGCTAAGCCTACCAACTGAACTCTTTTTATGGTAAGAAAATGAGGAGAGACGGATTCTAGTGGTTCAAAGGAAGGACCGCTCAAAGCTTTTAATACCAGTGGTAGGTCCCATGGAGGAGCAAATGACTTGATAGGAGGCTTTATCTTTAATACAGCTGACATGAACCTGGTCACATCCTTGTCCAAAGCCCATCTGTGATCCGTTAGGGCTGAAAGAGCCGAAATATGTACTTTAAGGGTATGTAGCTTAACCCTTTGTCAAGACCTAGTTGTAGGAATTCCAGAATATCTGTAGTAGAGATTGACTGAATATTAATTTGCCTAGATGTTGCCCAAGAGAAAAAGACATCACAGATTCTGTAGTATGTGGTGGACGTAGAGTGTTTCCTTGCTTGTAGCAAAGTGTCTATTACTGCCTGTGACAATCCTTTTCCTTTTAACCCTTCCCTTTCAACTTCCATGCCATCAGATTGAGAGAGGCTGGGTCTGGGTGGAGAACAGGGCCTTGATGTAGAAGCTAAAGAATCTTTGGAAGCTGCCAAGTGTCTGATTTGCAAAGGCTCAATAGAAGGGGAAACCATGGTCTGCGTGGCCAAAAGGGAGCTTTGAGAATGATAGATACTTTCTCTTGTCTCAACTATCTCAGAAGTGGAAAGATGAGTGGAGTAGGAGGGAATGCGTAACCTAGGTTGAATTGCCAATCGCTTGATAGAGTATCCTATAGCCAGAGAATAGATGTTCTTCAAGAAGAAGTCTCTTACTTTTCTGTTCTTGTATATTGCCATAAGGTCTATTTGTGGCATGCCCCATATTCGTGTTATCTTCTCAAATATCTTGTCTGACAAGCTCCATTCTCCTGGGTCTATTTCCACTTTGCTGAGGAAATCTGCTATGGAATTCTGGATTCCAGGAAGATGTACAGCCGATATACCTGCTAGATGTGTTTGTGTAAAGGCCATTAGGGGTTTAATTATTGACATCATCTTTTGACTCCTGGTTCCTCCTTGATGGTTTATATAGGCAACTACAGTGGCGTTGTCTGTTCTGATTTTGACCCACTTGAAACGGATAAGAGGGAGAAAATATTTCAGAGCTCTGTGAACTGCCATCAGCTCTAATAGATTGGACGGAGTGTTTGTTGTTGAAAAGGGCCATTTCCCTTGTATGAAGTGGTCTTGCAGGTGAGCTTCCCATCCCCATAGACTCGCATCCATGGTTACAACAGTAAACGTGTTCC